ACTTAAATATAAATTTTTGTGTGGTGTATGTTGAATGTAGCATTGGTTCAAATTAGATGTTTGTGATGTCCAAATACAAAGTCTGTTGTCTCTTACAAATTAGATACTCAAATTACCAATATTGACTATCTAGGATATAAGATAAGAACCTTCTGTCTTTTCTGTTTTCCGAGATATTAATATATTTATTGAATCAACCAAGGTGGCCCCACCCACCTCTTCAATTTTGAAAATACTTGCTTATATATATCTACTTTCCCCAATAACTTCTGTATAACCAATTGAAAGCTCAGAATGTCCCCCTGGTGTCTTTCTCAGCCTCTTTTGAAGTACTTGGGTAGCAAACTCATTCTTTTCATGCTAGATTCGAAGTGGTAAAATAAGACGTTAGTGAGCTTGAAATTTCACATTTTTTTAGACCCAAATACAGCTTAGTTACTAAGCTTGATAAATTATAGTGGAATTCTCTGGTATTAATGTAGTAATTTATGGTTTTTTGTTATTTCAAAATGCATATATAAAATCTAAAAAAAATTATTTAGTTTCATGTTCTCACATCCTCTGAAATTTGATAAGGCTTAGCAACCAAGTACAAAGGTCGTAACTAGAAGAGATAATTGTTTGCTTTACTTCTCTATGTTTTAAGAAAAATAAGTTTAAGAACTTATTTGTAAATAGTAATAATCTATATACATATATAATGTATTATAACTGAAATGTGACTGTATTTTACAAAATACTAGATCACTAAAACACAGCCAAGACAGATGAATTTCTAAAGGCCAGTTTTATACTCTTGGATACGGTAACATGAGTGCATGTGTGCCGTGTCATTGCAACTTTTATAATGTTAGTCATGCATGGCTGAATGGTCAATATAATAAAAATAATTAATATATATAATGTATAATTTTATGAGATTTAAGCTATTTAGAGTAAACATTCGTGTTATAATTCACATTTATTTCCTAATTTTTTTATGGTGGTTATGAGGTCAGTCAAATCGACCAAATCCATACAGAGAATCAATAGTGAAAATAACAGATAAAATATAAAGTTTTTTGTTAAAAAACATTTGAAACATGTGAAATTTGAAACTTTCTGATGCATAAAAGTATTTTTAATCTTAAAATCAATATTACTTTGCATGTTGGATAGTCAACATTTGAAAAGAAGAAAGGCATGAGCTTGTAGTAAACCAGACAGTGCTGTTTCCTTATTGAACCCTGGACATTAGATACTGTGTTTTCTTGAGTAACTCTTTCTCTTCTGGTGTATCTTGTTGGAAGCACTGAACTTACTTTCAGATACTGAACAAATATTTTCATTATATTGAAAACTCATTCATTCATTCATTCAAAAAATGCTCAAGATCGCCTAACAAACCATTTATATTTTCACTCATAAGTTCTAATAATGTATTCCTATTCTGTTGATGCTTGGATGGCTTTGGGAACAATAAGACTGGCTTGCCAGTTTACAAGTTTTTCTGAATGATGAGTAAAGTTAATTTGAGTAAAAATATATAATCATATTTGTTCTTTATGATAATATAAATAACATCTCAATCACTACTGTGTCTGTCTTATCCCAGATGGCCACAATATTACTGGATATAATAGATACTAGATCTTAGAACATT